GTAAGCTCTGGAAGGACATGATCCTCATTATTGTATGGAAAAGACAAGGTGCCTGATGCATGATGGATGATAAATAAATACTTATTATGTTGTTGAGATTATTTGTAACATGTTTTATTGTTTCCCCAGCATAAATTTTCCTAGTTGCACAGAGCTTCCCTTAGCCTAGATGATCATAATCTGCCTGTAGAGAAATAAACCACTCTGTTTAGTTTTGTTTTTTTCAGTAAACCACTCTGTTTAGTTTTTTTTTTCTCCAAGTGTTAGGTGTACGTGGGCTAATAAATGAAATTTTCCAGGTTTGTTGTTTGTTTTTATTTTTGACCTAGAACCTACATTGAGACTTGGAGCAGAGAAATTATTACATTAATGTTTGTCAGTTAAATATGAAATCACCAATGGGAAACCTACTTTAAAGTCTTAGATCCACTAAGAGAAAAACTTAAAGGTCATACATGAATTTTAAAAAAATTATTGCAAATTGATATGTGTGAACAGAAGTAATTATAGTTAACAGGGAATGAAATATAAGAACTTCAACTAACTTAAAAAATTAAACACAGAGTACACAAATCCATGTTTATTTAGTATAATGAATGCAAACATATGTACTATTTTTTTTAATGTGTACATTTGGGAAATGTGGGAAAAAATGTTAGGAGAGAAGTTGCAGTTAAGGAGAAGGGAGGGAAAAATGATGGAAGATTAAGAGGTCTGTGGATTTTAAAAAAAATTCTTGTTCAAGAATTATTCTTGAAATAATATTTCCCATTAAGTTCTAAAATTTGCCTTTGTATCTAAGGAAATATTTTAGTGGTGCAATTTTGATACAAGAATTCTAAAAACTACTGTGAATTGAATTAGCCATGTCTAAAAATCCTTCTAGAAATCAAAGCTTGTCTTGTTATATCCACTATAGATCTACATATATGTATATTTTTTAAGGGATTAGATTGCCTGAATCATAACAACTAAAGTTATTTTTAGATTACCCAGTTGTCCAAATTAATATTTTTAATTATACAGTGATTCTACCTGTTGGGAGGGGAGCATTTTAAATGATGTAAATTAGAAGATTCTCAGTGGAAAATCCTTTAGGAATAAATTTATAATTTATGACACTCAGAAGTTTTTATCCTTAAACTTTAGACTTCTTTTGGAATGTATATAGGTTTATGTGTATGTATGCAGTTGGGGAAAACTATTACTTCACTATTGCTTCACTAAAAACTTTGATGAGACCACGTGCAACTTCCCATTTATACTCCTATTAAAGTTGAGTGCTAAGTCTGCCTCTCCTCTCAGGGAAAGGAACGGCTGAGATTCTTTTGCTCCTGAAGTCTTGTTATGTCATTTCCAGCTCTTATTGTTCCTGGGCCCCTTTTCACCTTCTTTGAAAATTTTTATACCATTGTAACAATTTTTCACCTCATCTGGTGCATTAACTTTAAAAACCAAAAAAGTTCTAACATTAGGTAGATAGGAAATGTGAAAAAGAGAAAGGACCAGTTGTACTGCCCACTTGCCCCCCTCAGCACCTTTCTCTCTGACATTGTGTTAACACGGTAAGGTGCACCTCAGTGCATGCCCTCTTCACACTGGTTTGCTGAGTAGCCAGTTCAGCAGGGTGGACTTGTTGGAACACCCTTAGCCAAGGAACTCTTCATACTACTTTCTTCTTCATCCTTGAGGGCTCCCTTTCTGCCATTATCATTATTTTCCCGCTGTACTTTTTTTAATTCCCAGAAATCAGTTTGATTATTTCCCAAAAACAAAAATGAAAAAATGGGATTATTTTAATAGTTAAGATGCCCATTGGATGATATGGCAACTCAAAGGTGGTAGGTCTGAGATATATGCTGGGTGTGGCCTTAGACCAAACCCAAAGCAGAATTCTCAAGGAGCAAAAAGGGTTGTGCAATAAACCCTTAACAGTAAATTGTTCACATGTATTAAATTGCTACTATGGAAACATGCCCATAGATACTGGATAGCTACTGAGTTAGTATTCCCATTTTCAAGTAAGCATTTTTTAAGTCAAATGAAATATCATATATTCACTCTTATGCAATGATAAGATTATATTCCTAAACATCTTTTCCCCCCTATTTATCTTCAATTGCTTTGAACTCCCTAGCTTTTCCACTAATCACTGTATAAATTAACATGTTACTTTCATACTTTGTTTATACTCAGTAGGTATATTGTATATATAATATGTATACTATAAATATATACATACTAAAATATATACCTAGGGGGTCTATATATATATGTATATATTTATATGTACATATACATATATATGTTATGTATATATGTACATATATATATATACATAACACTTAGGTGCATATATATTATAAATAAAAGTATAATAAAAATTTTAATCAAATATAAAAATGTTTTATAAGTTGTCTTTCCAAAATTTTAGGGATATGCATTTCCAAGCATAATTATTAATTATTTTCTTGCAAGAGAGATGTAAAAATGTTTTGATTTTATTTAAAAAAACATCAAGGGACACCTTGATAGCTCAGTCATTAAGCATCTGCCTTTGGCTCAGGGCATGATCCCAGCCAGGGTCCTGGGATTGAGCCCTGCTCAGGCTCCCTGCTCAGCGGGAAGCCTGCTTTTCCCTCTCCCACTCCCCCTGCTTGTGTTCCCTCTCTCGCTGTGTCTCTCTCTGTCAAATAAATAAATAAAATCTTAAAAAAAAAGAAAAAAGAAAATATAAAAACACCAAAACTCTCAATTTGCTTCTAAAGTAACAACTTTATTTTAGTATTAATTAGTACACTTGAGGCAGACAACTTTAAAATCTATGTTATTAAGTATACAGTAGCATTAGGTACCATAAAAGTGACGAGTCATACAAAGGGATTCTTGACATTATTGCTCTATTATTAGAGAGGGCTGTTATAATGATCATGTAATTTTTAAAACTATACATTGGAAGGGCAAAGAAACATTAGTACATTTTCCTACTTCATCTCGGATACGATTCAGTATTAGAAGTTTTTGCAGATTCGGTATTAGAAGTTCTGCAGTTTTACAGAGTATTTCAGCATCTGTCTTCTAAAAAATATGCCCTTGTCTCATTTAAGACTTCTGTAAATACACATGAACTAATTTATTTGTCTAAAGTTACACTGTTGTTTTACTAGTGCTCTTCCGGACACAGATTCACCTCTGTGACCAAACCTAAACAACTTAAATTTAAAGCTTACCTAAAAAGTAAAACAAAAATCAGAAATAAGCACTTATAAAAGATTATTTTTTCATTAAGGAAATAATTGCCTGCTCTTTGCTACCAAGCACTTTGCTCCTTTTGTCATGTCAGTTCACCCCTCAGACCTCTGCAGCTCTATTTGTGTTCATGTTATATATCCAGCCCAGACTTGCTTGTGAATTCCAGAATGGCACATTCGACATCCTACTAAACATCTCCACCTGGATTTCCTATGGGCTCCTAAAACTCAGTAATTCAAAAATATCTTTTGTTTTTATTTGATAATTATATATATTTGAAGATGTCACTATCCTATTTCAATAACTTTAGAGAAATAACCTAAAGCATCAATGCTTACCCTCCTTTGACATGGCATAGAATTCCTCCCAAACTCGGCCCCGGCCCTCCTTCCTCCTCCCCTTCCTCCTCACTCCCAACCTCAGCTCCTACTTTCTCTAATCTCACTCTCTTCAGCGCAGTGCTTCCAGACTAGAATAGTTTCCCAATGGAGTAGCATTTGGTATTCTCACCTGTGCTTTCCATTCTGCTGGCAATGTTCTTCCTGAGAATTTTCTTCCCGGAAAACCCTTACCTTACTTGTCAATTTCACAATATTTTCCCTGACGTGATTTCCCTGGGAATGTCTTTCTCAGACTTGGGACACTTTCTTCCTTCTGCTGCCATTGAAACTTTTCATACATCATCTACATTTGTGCACTCCTTACACTGATAACCACCTGTTGAAGGTTTATCTAGCCCATCTCTGACTTTCTAAAGAATGGAGGAGGGGGCAGTACAGGGAGGAAAAGGAAGTGAAAATAAGGGTGCGGAGAGAGGTTGAAAAGATGGGAACTGTGGCCTGGCTTGTAAAATATACACGAATGAGACTTTCCAATGTGATTTTCCTAAGTTCTCACTTGTCCCATTCTCCAGTATGTGTTCTATTACAACTGTTCTAATTTCTATCAGTGAGTATACACACACCCACAGGATGCAGATCACATTCACTTTTAAGAAAAGGATTATATTTAACAAAGAGATCTTGTTAACCTTGAGTAAACATGAAAATAATATTTCCTGAAAAGTTACACATTCTGACACAGAACCTAATTTATTGTTTTCTCAACTAGAAGCTTGAGTCGCAAAGTTCAAATTGCTCCCTCACCCATCTGCTTCCCAAATTTGTACCATTCATATTGTCCATTATGCAACAGGCTCCTGGCATTCACTACTAGAAAGCTGCTAGTTCAGACTGTTCACTCAAAATCTTGATGCCCCTCGCACGATGATCTGAACATGAAATTTGGTTTTATATTTTGCTGCGAGGTTGGTGTATGAAAGAAATTCATTTAGCTAGGAAATCAACACATTTAAACACGATGCTGTGTTTAAATTACACTACTTTCATGAGTGGATCTCATAAATCTTGCAAAACTGAAAGAAAATCAACAACTAGTATTGATAATAAAAGTAAGGAGACGGGGCAAAATATTATTAGAGCTCTTAAAAAAACAAGTAATTTTAAATGACATTAGTCTGAAATTCATATAAGTGTCTTAAAATGTCATTTAAATTTTTCATTCATATTTTAATGTGTCAGAAATTTTATTCTATAAGAGGTTTGGGGACATATCTTGGGCATATATTTCTTGAATACTAAGAACTTAATAGTTGTATAAAAGTGGATTTAGAGATTTGGGAATAAAAAACACCAATGAAAATTTCTAAACATGAATTTCATGTACTTTTATATTAATATAATATATTTCTTTTAAGAGGAATGAAAACTACATTTTGTGTAAAATATCTTAGATCTATGATGTCTTAACTTCTGGGTATACATGTGTCTGGTTTGCTGCAAATCCATTTTCTAACCAAGTGCGTACTGGCACTGCTAATCCCAATTTTGTGTAGATAGGCGCATTCTCCGATTCCAATTATTTTAAACCTGAAACAAAACACAGAAGGAAAAATAAAAGGCAACAGATTGGTGAGCACTGATTGGAAGAATTAGAGAAAAAAATTTCTTCTGCTTTGAATTTTTACTCTAACCCAACGTCTTTGAACAGCAAGTAAAGTGGCGATAAATGTACCTACTTCCCACAGTTGTGCAGGTTAAATGAGATCATGATTATGAAGCATTGTTTGGAATACTGTAGGTATTAAATACTTTGTACAATAGTATTTACATTACCACTTTTTCTCTGGGCTCATTTTATTTTCCACCACAAAGGAAACTTCCAGGAGAATGGTGTGGATGGATTGTAACTCAGATTTCTCTGTGGTGGCAAAGGGCTCAGAGCCCCGGCTTTAGGTGTATAAATTATATACCCAGGACTTACCAACCACTGTATATGGTTCCATCTATCCATTTCCAGGTCTGTCCTGGTTCTCGACCCAGTCCAATCCAATATTGAGAATGGTCAGAATATCGTTTCAGGAAATCCTTTAATAGAGTATATTTACAGGATGAATGGCAAATGCTTTATTTGGTTGGATTTTCTTTTGTCTCATTATACACTTTATAGAAGGGGACAGCATCCTTATCTGGTTCATAGGTTAGTTCATGGGTTGGGTTACTTCTGTAACAACTACCATAGTAAATTGCATTGGGTAGCTTTCTTTTCTATTTTCCAAAGAGTTTTTATAAGACAGAAATTATCTGTTCTGTGATGGCTTGCTCTAATTTGCCAGTAAATCCTAGGTTACCAATCTTTTAGGATGGGAGAATCTTAGCAGTGAAATATATTGAAGAGTTGGTTCATCTAGGTTTTATATATTTTCATAATTTATTCTGATACATTATATTTTCTGATCTTGTTACCACTAACTAGCTTTTTTGTTTTGTTTGGATTTGGTTAGTAATTGCTTTGCATAACTTTTCCTTTCATTTTCCAACTTGTGTGTGTGTGTGTGTACATGCACTTAGATATGTCTCTGTAAGTAGCACGTTACTGGACTTTGTTGCTTTTTTTAAAACCAATCTGGTAATTTTTGTCGCTAAGAAACAAATTAAAACATTCATATTTTATCATGATCACTGTTGTATTTGGACTTATCAATGTTGTGTTTTCTGACTACTAGTTTTTCTTTGTTCTTTTACCTTTTCTGAATTCTATTGGATTGATACTTTTTCTATGTCTTTAATTTATTTGAACACCTTAGTTTGTTTGAACATTTTTTACTCTTTGATGCTTACCACTTAATTTTTTTTAAAAAACATTCCTGTCTATAAATATCCCAATATAGGTTGTCTAAACAATTGTTTAAATAATTGTTTAGGCAATTATCCATTTCTTCAAAGTTTTCAAATTTATCGACATAAAATTATTTGTAAGATTTTATGCTTTTAAATTGCTACTGTTTGTAATTGTATTTATTAGATGCATATGTCTTTTTTCCTTTTCTGTGATCAATCCTGTCTATGCATAGAACCAGTTTTGCTTTTGTGTATCCTCGTTATTTTGTTGGACTCTTTTATGTTTATTCCAAAAATTATTCCAATGACTATGGTTTTTAGTTAAAATATTTCTTTTGTTTTGTTTTAGTATTCATAATTTCTCATTTTTTCCCTGCTTTAGTTTTTCTTGATTTGTTATTCTACAGAATGGGCTGTATGACTTCATTTATATTTTTCAACCATCCAAATGTACTTATCTATAAATCTTTGTCAGAATGACCTACTAAATTAATATCAGTTTGGGACAATCCCTCTCTGTCCTTTCCTGATAGAGTATGTGGCCAATAAATGTTAAATATATCCCTATGCTCCTTGAGGTCTTAACTCTTTGTCTCTTACCACCTCTGTTGTTTTACATCTTTATTATTTCAGGTTTGGGGAAGTTTGTACTGTGTGATTGGTTTCTTCATTGATCTTTTTCTGTGCCTGAAGCTCCCAGACCTTCTTGGTTATACTGACTCATTTATTAATCCTTTCCAGTATCTCTGACGACTGGTTTGCCATGACTTTCTGTTTATTATTTTTTTGAATATAGTTCCCCCAAAGGCAAGTTTAATTTGGTGTAAAATGGTAGGTAATAATAGTTCATTACTGAGGGCTTTATTATGGCTTCATGGGTCTGAACTTCGTGGGACGTGGTTTTGGGTTTTCCCTGGATTTTGGTGCTGTATTCCAACTTGAAAATGTAGAGCTGGGTAATATGTGGTTGAACTTCTTTGGACAATAGTTGGGGTCTTTCTGGTGGGTAGTAGTATATATTCCCTACTATATATATATAGTAGGGAAAATGCCTACTATGTAACTTATTTCTAAATACTTTTTACTCCCAGTTGAAAAGTCAAGTGGGGAAGTCATCTCCTAAATGTTGCCTAGAAATCTGTACTCTAAGGGTTGCTCTGACCTGATGTGAGCTCTTTCTATGATTAAATTGATGTGGAAAAAAAGGGCTTCTAGGCTGGGTGAGAGGCTCTTTTCTGGCTCTTTCCATTTCCAGTGCCTTCTCCACATCAGCTATGACCTCTGAAAACATAACTATAATGCAAAAGAATTGGCTTACCAGTTCTTTTGTGGTGTTGAAGACAGCAAGAGTGGCTGCATGAGACGCACAGAAGTTCTGGCTTGCTGCCCAGGTTCTTGTATTTTCAGAAAAATAGAAGCACTTTCCCAGGTAACCAATCCAGCCATTCAAGCATGGCATACATTCAGTGGAAGATTTGTCTTTTTTGACTGAAAAGAATTTAATAATATATTAACTACTGAGGAGGTGGCATGACCTGAATGTCTGCTCTGAGATACAATAGAATTTAATTTGTTTTAAAGCAGTTTTCTTATCCATATAAATGAAATTCATCAAATTAGCTTTGGCCCTTCAATCTGAAGTTTTGGGCTTCATTAATCATTCTTTGTTTTTCTCCAAACGAAGTCAGCTCCTAAATTTTTGTATTTATTTTTCTTGATAAGTTGAAAGAAATCCTTGGCAGATGCCACTCATGTAGATGTTGGTATTGCTCAGATTCAAGGATTGGTGCTCTTCTCAAGTGACACACTCCACCTAGGAGAACATACTCATTCTCATGATGTGACTCTCGTGTTTATACAGATAATTATTAAAGTGATATGTCCAACCCAGGCCTCTCATCAGAAATCTCCCATATACTAATATGCTAAGCACTGTTGTGTATGTTTATTAGAGACAAGGTCCCTGCCATCATTGTCTAGTGGGGCAGATAGATATTGAACAAATAATTACAAATTCAAGGAATGGTACAAGAGCAATAGCTGTAGGTACTAAGAGAACGTAAGTTGAGGGGAGCTGGTCTAGCTCAAGGATGGGGATTGCAGTAGACATTTCAGCTGACACTTTAAGGATGCAGAGAGCTAGCTTGCCAGAAGAAGAATGAGGAAAGCACGTTCTCAGCAAAGAGGAAGTGAATATGTAAAGGCCCTGGAGCGAGTGATCTTTTCACTTAAGAAAGGAAGATCACTCTGAATGGAGTATAGAGAAAGAAGAAGCATAACAAGAGCTGAGGCCAGAAGAATGAACAGGAGCTAGGTGTTGCTTATGTACACTGTAAAGATTTTACACCTTATACTAAAAGGATTGTCTCAAAATTAGAGATAGATGATGATGTATGGACTGGATGGATGGCATGTTGATTCATAAAAATAATTGTCAGAAAAAATCAGATTGGGGAAAAAAACAAGTGTTCAATCTGAAGTGTATGAAACAACTGAGTTGGATATATCTGATCCAGTTCCACCTATGCTTCCACTATGCTTAGACCATGTTTAAAGTCTAGCTTTTTCTTTATTATTGTTCTAATTTTTTAAAAAGACTTTATTTGAGAGAGAGAGAACACAGAAGAAGAGAGCACAGAAGGAGAGGGAGAAGCAGAATTCCCATTGAACAGAGAGCCCGATGTGATGTTCAGTCCCAGGACCCTGAGATCACGACCTGAGCCAAAGGCAGCCACTTAACTGACTGAGCCACCCAGGCACCCCTAACTTTTTCTTTAAACTGTAATGAAAAGTGCATCAGGATTTGATCTTTATTTACATCTGTACCTTCATTTCCTCTTATTTTTCTGTAGGCACTTTGTTTCTCTCTTCATTTTCTTGTATACCAAACTTCTTGTATTTCCTCATTCATGTAATGTTACTTTTAGGTAATATCTGGACCTTTGTTCATGCTGACCTGTGTTCCCCAGTGCCATAGTCCCACATTAACTTGCAATAAAAAAATTCCATCCCTGTCCAACTAGAAAGTACCTACTTGTATTTCAATAATCTATTATGTTAAAGCATAATTTCCTCTACGAATTTCCTCTACTTTATCCCAGTGGAATTGATCATACGCTCCTTTCCATTTTCTTGGCTTCTAATAGACTATCAGATTTAATACATTATAGTAATGACTATAAATGTTGCCTCTTTTTTCTCTATCCTAGCACCTGGAGGTTATGTCATGCCTGTTTGCTGTATAAATAAACAAAATATACCACATCTTTATCCATTCATCTGTCGATGGCCATCTTGGCTCTTTCCACAGTTTGGCTATTGTGGACATTGCTGCTATAAACATTGGGGTGCACGTACCCCTTCAGATCCTTACATTTGTATCTTTGTGGTAAATACCCAGTAGTACAATTGCTGGATCGTATGGTAGCTCTATTTTCAACTTTTTGAGGAATGTCCATACTGTTTTCCAGAGTGGTTGCACCAGCTTGCATTCCCACCAACAGTGTAGGAGGGCTTTCTCTGCATCCATCAAAAGGAATGAGATCTTGCCACTTGCAGTGACGTAGATGGAACTAGAAGGTGTTATGCTGAGTGAAATAAGTCAATCAGAGAAAGGCATGTATCATATGACCTCACTGATATGAGGAATTCTTAATCTCAGAAAACAAACTGAGGGTTGCTGGAGTGGTGGGGAGTGGGAGGGATGGGGTGGCTGGGTGATAGACATTGGGGAGGGTATGTGCTATGGTGAGCGCTGTGAATTGTGCAAGACTGTTGAATCACAGATCTGTACCTCTGAAACAAATAATGCAATATATGTTAAGAAAAAAAGAGAAGAAGATAGTAGGAGGGGAAGAATGAAGGGGGGTAAATCGGAGGGGGAGACGAACCATGAGAGACGATGGACTCTGAAAAACAAACTGAGGGTTCTAGAGGGGAGGGGGGTGGGGGGATGGGTTAGCCTGGTGATGGGTATTAAAGAGGGCACGTTCTGCGTGGAGCACTGGGTGTTATGCACAAACAATGAATCATGGAACACTACATCAAAAACTAATGATGTAATGTATGGTGATTAACATAACAATAAAAAATTAAAAAAAATATGACTTTCATACACCTCTGAGAAAAATCTATGTAACCATTCTCAATTATACCTAAGAGAAAATATGATTTTTACTCTAGACATGATTAGATCTTTGACTTATTGTATTGCAGACTATTTTAACCTAAGTATTAATATCTATTAAGTAGGAGAAGCCTATTTTTATGCCAAAGCACAGAATCAGTCATCTGATCTGAGTCATAGGAGTTTAACATGCTTATCTCCCCTCTCCTAGATTTTGTTAAATAACCCTTATTTTTGCTTAATAACTTTAGGAAATCAGGGTGTTTTAGCATCACAAGCTGCACTAAAAATTATCCAGTCCAGTCCTACATTGTATAGATAGGGAAGCTGAGATGTTAGACACTGGATGACTTATAACCGATGACAAAACCTGGAGATGGAATGGTCCCACATTTCAATATCACTGAATTGGTCCCACATTGAAATGGTCCCACATTCCAATATCACTGCAGGATTAAAGCATATTAACCTTTATAAACTGTGTATAGTGTTATGTGATCCAGTTTATAAAATAGTCTTTTGAACATAGCTTAAATCAGAGAACAAAATGAAGATCCTTAGGAATTCCACTGAATAAATTCCACTGAGTGAAAATTAGGAGCACCTGGTAAGGATGGCCTGCACAGACTTCAGTAGGTGGCCTGGAAGAAACTGCCTTTCTAAGAACAGGTTGAACATATTTCATCTCCTTTAGCAAATTACTGGGTGTTTATTTTATATAGACCCCATAGGAAATAAGCACATTTAGGAAGAGACAACATTGTAGATATGGTCAAGAACAATGAATAAAATTCAGAAGACTTAGATTCAGGTTATAACTTAGCTGTGTTTAGATAGTCAGCTACTATCTCTGAAGTTCAAAGTCCTTGTATATAACAAAAGGCAATAAGGAAAATAATACTTCACTACTTCTCTGGGTCACTCAAAAATGCAAATAAAATATTGTGTATTAAAATATCTTATGAAGCATAAAACGCTTTGTAAATATATACTTTTATCAAAAAACTTTTTCCTCTTCCTCTTCCTCCAACTCCTCCTCCTCCACCTCTTCATCCTCCTTTTTTCTCCAGTTGAGTAAATTCCATGAGGACAGGAACCATATTTGTCTTGTTTTTCTAGCATAATGCCTAGTTCATATAATGGTTTCTTTCCCCATCTCCTTTATCTGTCTATCTATCTATCTATCATCTATCTATCATCTATCAATCTTCTATCTATCTACCTATCCATCCATTTATATACATACAGTATATTCACATATTTATATATACATTTCATCCATATGTAAATATAGTCAAGTATATACACATAATCATGTATATATACAAGGCATAATGCCTAGTTGATAGAATATGCTTGATCAATATATCTATACTATATAAACTCATTTATACATACTTATGTGCACATTTATGTATACATGTATGTATAATATATATGCACATTAATTTCTACAAATGACTTTAGACATCCATATATAATATATACACTTATAATAAATATGCTCATGTGTAAATCATATTATATATGCACATCTATATGAATATATGCTTATGTATATATTTTCAAACATCTTGTTAAAATTACTTCAAGTTATTTTTAGAATATATGTATATATTTTACCCTCATAAAGGGGAGATATATCATTCTCAACTTAATTTTAGAGGTTAGGAGTAATCTATATTTTGGGTAAAAATTATGGTCTTTAGGATGGCAACATTTTTTCTTGTCCAATTCTCTATAACCCATATGTATAGTTGTGAACTATGACTGGGACTTGTAAATGTGACCGTATCATGGGAAGCTGCACAACCAGACAGAGATCAAATGTTTTGCCCCTTGAACTCAGTTTCCTTTCTTGTAAATGATAGTCATTAGCTAGAAGCAGCTTAGCAAAAGATACTGATACTTATGTAAAAGTATATGGTTTCGTCCATATGTAGATAATGTTCCATAAACTGCTACCAGTCCACAGGGAGATAGGGATCTCATGGCACATTGTTAACTAACTGTGTCACCAAACATATTGTGTAGTTCTTTTGCTATTTCTTCATAAGGAGACTTTCTTCATGAAGGAATCAGTATAGTGATTTACATTTTACCATGAGCCCCTTACCTTGTAAGGACTATAAGCAATACTGATTTAGAAGGAAGTTTCATATGCATTAAGTTATTATTATCCCACAATATACAGTAGAGCTATTATCCCCATTTTATAGAAGAAGAAATATACATTCATCCCATGTACAAAGATGTCTGAAATTACCCTTTATCTTGAGCCACAATATGAAAAGCACACAGATGATGTAATATTTTGTGGAAGAGTTAACATGAGCATATTTGAGAAGCGGGCAACTCACCTGATAAAATTGAGGCCAGTGTAGTTATCAAAATCACCAGGAAGAAGATGACAGTGGTGATAATTTTAGAGATACAAAGTCTCTTTTTATGCCTTTTTGAGGGTTCTTGTGACTTTCCAGTAAGGTTGAAAGTGATAACATCTCCTATAAAAAATCAATCAGTTTTTAGTTTCTAGTAAGTGAGTTTATATGCTAGCAGTGATCAATACAAAATTCAAATATACCACTTACAATAGCATAAAAATATTGAATGCTTATGGATAAATCTGACAAAAGACTTGCAAAACATGGGGCGCCTAGGTGGTTCAGTCGGTTAAGCGACTGCCTTCAGCTCAGGTCATGATCCCAGGGTCCTGGGATGGAGCCCCGCATCGGGCTCCCTGCTCCACAGGAAGCCTGCTCCCTCCCCCACTCCCCCTGCTTGTGTTCCCTCTCTCGCTCGCTGTCTCTCTCTGTCAAATAAATAAATAAAATCTTAAAAAAAAAAGGACATGCAAAACTTGTACACTGAAGGCAAGAAAACATTGTTGAAATAAATTACAGACATAAATACATGGAGAAAGATACCATTTTTGTGAGTCAGAAGACACAGTTTTTGTGAAGATATCAATTCAACTCAATTTATAGCTTCATCACAATCCCAAACAAAATTCCCAGCAGGCACTTTGTTGGGGGGGAGGTAGAAATTGGCAGCTGTTTCTAAGCATTTTAATGTATGTGAATTTTATCTAATAAAGCTGTTAAAAATTATACAAAAATTAGTTATCTTTTATCCACACAGAGTGGATTTTTATAAGATACTTTGGAGAGATAGCTGAAAATAATATGACACAGATAGAAGAAATGAAGAGCATGGAGATACCGACTCTCTCAGGAAGGTTAGCAATCAGAATTGATAGCAAATGCCCACCAAATGTAAATTTGTTTACTTTACAAATATAGCGCCTAAAGCCTGTCATACGTGTACTTCTTACCTGAAGACTGGGAATCTACTGAGTTTGTCAGTGTTCTGTCATCATCCATGTCTCCTCTTCGGCAAAGCGAAAATACAGACTGGTTGTAGGGAATGCACGGGATTCAAGATCCCTGCCCACAGTTGGATTTAGTGTCAGTAATATGAAGACAGTCTAAAATGAGGACATAAAGTTAAGCGATCAAAAATGAGAATATAAAGTTAAAGACAGTCTAAAATGAGAACACAATGTTACAACATCCTAAATTGAGAATATCACAATAATGTAAGAATTATGATGAATCGCCTCAGAAGTCTGACCAATGACATAACTCCTGCCCTTTTGCTACATTGCTGTCCAGATACCATTCTATCTCACTGCAGTTTGAGGAGCCACTGGAGGTGGTGGGAGACTCTGAAATGATACTTCTGATGGGTTGGGTTCAGCGGAAAGGAAGTGAGGTCCAGGAGTTTATGAAGCCAACAAACTAAGTCTTCACACTATCACCTCGACCTACCAATATTTTTAGATAATTTTGGCCATTATGGACCCCAGCCATGAGCCAATTCGAAAGGATCTGAGCATAAAATAACAACTTTGATTGCAGTGAAAAGAACACCAATTGTCTTTAATAGTAATAATAATAATAGGAACAATCATATCTCCTATTTATTGTGTACCTACTCTATGGTAGGCCTAGTTCTGAGCTTTTAACTTTTATGATTCAATTTATGTTCATAATCATATGAAATAGGAGCTTATTATTACCATTAAATTGCAGATGAGACAAATTCCTTAAAGTAACAGAGAGGGAAAAAGTTTTTTCTTAAAGTAACATAGCCGATATGTGGCTGAGCTTAGATGTTAGTTGGCTCTGATCATTTAACCACACCGCTCTACTGTCCTGCTTCTGTCTGTTCGGGACCTTGCCATGAGCATTCTCATATGCTGAACTCCTACTTTCAGATGTAGAAAGCAGACCTCAAGTTCAACCACAGCAACAAAAGTATTGTGCTATTGGTGTTGTGCTAAGATCATTGTAGTCATCTATAATCATTTGATGTAGGTGAGGATGAATACATGACAGCCCGTATTTCAAAGTCCCTTCCTTGAGAGACAAACAGAAAGTAATGGGTTGACATTTTTTAAAGCTGGATTGTAAGGAATAGAGTTCTCTCTAATTTTGCATGTTGATGTTTTTAATATATGAATGTTAATTCACATCTCCAAAAAACCAATTACTTCAGGAGCCATGAGTGTGTGTTAGAGAGAGAGAGAGACAGAGAGAGGGAGAGAGAGAGAGAGCGACAGAGACAGAGACAGAAACATAGAGACAGAGAGAGAAAGAGAGATTGGGGAGACCTCTGGCTAGATTATTTTATTCAATTCTTTATCTGAAGCAAAAAGTATCCCCAAACTCTATATGCTATTCAAAACCAAAATTTTGCTTGTGTACCAGTTAGCTATTGCCATATTAATGCTATTTTACAAACCTTACCCCAAACCCTGGTTCACTCACTAGTCTGTGCTGCATTGGCTGAGTCGTCTGGGTTGTCTGGTTGAGGCTCTGTCTCAAGATGTTGAGTCTGTGTCCTTGTCTCTTTGCTATTCTAGGGTCCAGGCTGAAGAGGCAGCAGCTACTCCAGAAGCTCTTCTCACGAAGATGTCAGAGGTGCAAGAGACTAAGCCCATCAACTCAGCATATTTCAAGTCTCTGGTTGACCTCAAAGTCAGGGAGTGGGGAAGTACGCTTTACAACTAGTAACAGGAATTGCAGAGCAATATATATATCTGCAAGGAGTGAATCAAGGGCCAGTCGTCACAAGCCACAACTTGTTGTGGTCCTTCTTGAGGACTTCCGGTCAAATTTTGCCATTGTCTTTTTAAAATTTATTTATTTTTGGGATCAATCTCTTAGATCTTACTTGTTTTGTTTTGCTTTTTAAATTAAGAACTTTATCTAAGACTGCTGCTTTCTGCCTTTTCTTTTCCCTTATGGGCAGTAACATCGTTATATAAGTCAGGTTGATCTTTTTTTTCAAAATGAGTTCCACATAAACTTTTCTTATTTCTCCTGTGTATTTTCACTTTCCTTTTTTCTTCACTCTTCTATTATGTTCGCTTCTTGATGATTCTGCTATGTTTTCAAAAAGACATATTGCAGATACAGTAGCCTAACTTTGCGAGGATAAAGTTGTATAGCAATACAAAATTGATACACACCAGTAGTCATGATTTTACAGATGAAAGGCTGTGTTTCAACCACTGTGTTTTGTAAATGAGGAAAATGAATCAAGCATAAATGAATAAATTATTCAAGGTACTCAGCTGATTAGTAAAGGCTTCTGATTCTCTGTTTGCCAATTCATTTTCTCTCCAACATCTTTGTCCAACTTCGTAGATAAATTTGCTTTGGGATTTGAAAGCCTGTTCTCAACTTTCACAAGATATTCAAACCAGAGACTGAGGACTAATATTCAAATTGTTTAATCTTTTTACCCACAAATAATATTGGTCACAATTATACATAAAAATCTCTCTAATTTGTATATTTCTTTCCCACCCCAATTTTAATAAATATTTTAGTCCCTTATTATCTCTCAACCAGACATTTATGACAACCTCTAACTAATTACTTCTCCTCCAGGCCAATCTCTTCCTTCTCTTTCAATCCAACGTTCACATTACTGTCAAAATCTTTTTTTTTCTAGATCACAAATCTATTCATCAGTTTTATCACTTAATTTTTGTCAATTCTTCTCTATCATCTCCAAAATGGAAATTAAGCGCTTTAGAATGACCCTTAGCAATTCAAATGTCAAATTACATTATTCAGGTCATCGTTCTTCCTTCTCTTCTGTACTGGACTTTGCATCATTTTCCAAACACATTCTTTCACTCTGTTGCCTTCACTCAGGCTCTTACGTTTACCTGATGTGCCCTGCTCCACTTGTCTACTCTGCTTAAGATTTGCCTCTGTTGAAACCAAATTTATAATAAAAAAAAACCTACTCTTAAATCTTTTGGCAGAGTTAGTAAACTTCCCCATGAATCTTATGCTGCCATTTTGGGTTCTAGATAACTGTATTATAGAACTTTGTTATATTAAATTATATTTATTTGTTCATATCTATCTTTTCTAAGGGACTATAAGCTCCAAGATGGAAGGGAATCTATTTATTCATCTTTGTATTACCACACAGTGATTGACCCCCCAAAAAAGTGCTAAAACCAGTGTCTATTGGATGAATAAATAAATGTTCTAGATCCTTCTTACAGAGTCTAATTCAGCATAGTTGGACTCATCTACACTTTCTAAAAACAAATTTCTTTTCACTAATTACAAAACAAGCATTTGTTCCTCTCCCTGTTGGTTTCTGGCTTTATTTCCTAGCCACTTTCCCCGAGCCGCTTAGCTCAGCTAAGTGGCTGACAATATTTCCTCAGGAGCCAAAATAATATGACTCTCATTAAAAACAATTGAAATCAAACTAACATGATTTTTCTTTTCCCTCTCTTGCCTGTAGTTTCTCACATGGACACCTGCGTCCTCCATTAATCTGTTGCTTGCTGCCCTCTCCCAAGTTGTATTTCTTTACAAAGAGTCAGAAAATCATCTTTTGTTAAATGATAACTAGAAATACTTAATAATTGGCAGATCACAAGCTTAATTATATCACTGAATTATCCCACAACATCCATCTGATTATATGCATTTTGAAATTCTCCCTTATTTTTTTCTTTTACTTTGAAACTCTTTGCTAAATAGTCTCTAAGCTCACTCGTTCAACTCAGACTTTCGATAATGATCACTCTAACAGAAAACAGAGGAAAATTCTCTAAAAGAATTTTTCTTTCAAGTTCTTTCCTTGCCTTGGGGAACCCCATACTCAGAAATTTTCTATATAGTCCTTCCAGCTCTGTTTACATTATATCTAGTTCATTCATATCCTTGTAGGTATTCAATACTTACTAGGGACGTTTCAGAGCCCTGACTCTACAAAGGCAAGATGACTAACCCTGGGAAACTATGTTAGCTCCCCAGGTTAACTCCACATATTCCCTGTCCTTTGTAGGAGCTGGACCTGAAGCAACAATAAGACATAACCCATGTTTTCAGCCTACAAGGGATTGGAAGGGGTTGAGATCATAACTAGCAGAGCCTGAGAAACTTCAAACCTAATCATGGGTCTGTGTCTATGAGGAAAAAAAACAAAAACAAAAACATAGTCACCGAATTAAAACAACAACAACAACAACAACAAAAACAAAGCAAATGCATGGGTGAGAAATGGGGAGACATATGGAACTGGCCAAACTGGAAGTACCACGCAAGGCTAAAGCATAAACCTTAAATCTTTTCCATCCTTTTGGGAATGTCATTCTCCCTTCTATTTATTCACATTCTAATCTGCCTTCAAAATAGTTATTCCTTCTCAGAGTGTTGATAGAACTTGTTTGGAACTCTTCATCTGTACATTTATTACTAGTTATATTTTTATATGAGTAGCCTCCTTTCTTTTATGAAATAAATATTGTTTTAAAGCACCAACAGGCTAAATCTTTCAGGATAAAGTATTTTATTACAAGTCAAAGGAAAAGAAAGACCAGAGTTCCTCAAATTCTTGTTCATTGCCTTCTTCCTCTTACAATTAACCATAAATGTACTAGTTGCTGAAGATGAGAATTATATTATAAAATATTAGAGGAGGTACTTTTACCACTTCAATTACATCACTTTTCATATTTTCAAAAAAAACCATGCTTTTGCTCACCATGCCCAATCACTGCTATTTGAGATTTCTTTTTGTTCATGGGAAAAAAATCAATGCCATTTATTTTAATATTTCTAATTTATGAGATTAATTTCTTAATTCTACACAGGAATTAAATTCATTAGTGCTGAATATAGAAACTCTAGTCAAGACCAAACATTTTTTTGAGTCCACACCTCTTAATACTGTACTAGGTGATGTCATTTTTTTAAAAGGCAAAAGGTACTACACTGAAATATACATTATAAAGTAAGTTCTTGAGCTTCAAGGGACTTATGAACATCGCAAAAATCCGGGATTGTGAGTGTGTATGTGTATGTGTGTGTCTGTTTTTATACTTTTCTGTGCCATCCTTTTACCAGACCCTTACAGAATGTCATGGGAGAGATCTTTGTCAGTTGTCGGTAACCTTAGCACCTGAACTTATCTCATCAGTCATCCCTACGTGCCTTTATTTTTAAATTTGTCTTTCTGTTTACCTCTTTAATGTCATACTAAGGTCCTGTATTCCACTTTGTTCCCATTAAGACACATCCCATCAAATATTTATGCTAGGAGACAGATAAATGTAGGATAACTTCCAGGCATTTGACTTGGATAACCGGAAGGATATGGGGCAGTGGATGTTTCTTTGTCATTATTTCCGATGTACAGCAACTGAGCCACTTTCCTTTGCTGAGACTGTTCTTTGCCACATGAGTCCCGATGGCAGGCAAAACCTTCTCCACTGTAGAAGCTAAAGAAGCTTTTCACTTTCCCAGCCTCCCCTGGAACTGAGGATGCTGAGGGGCATGTGGGCTATACCCAGTTAGATGCACCCTAGTCAGATCTTGAGTAGGGAGCTATTTATGCTCAGAAGCATTGGAAATGGGGAAGTCGGTCTGGGGTGGGGGTGGAATAAGAACATCATAAATATTTAGATTGCAGTGTATTCATGGAGTCAAAACTGTTTTCCATTGGTGCTAGCAGTTTCTTCTTGCTGCAGCTATGATCAGAAATACAGAATGAACATATTTAGTTGAATAATAGAACTAGTTCATTTTGGGGCACATTGATATTAAAGTTCCTCTGAACATCTAGGTAAAGATGTCTAGTAGGCATTGGTATACAAAATTCCAGATTTTAGGGAAGAGATATAATTAAAGCTAAAGGTTTGAAATTGTCAGTATGTATGAGCCAATAGAAAGCATAGTTGATTTTTGAAAAACGTTGCAACTGCATGGGTTCACTTATATGTAGAGTTTTTTAATAAATAATACAGTACAATACTGTAAATGTGTTTTCTTTTTCTTAGGATTTTCTTAATAACATTTTCTTTTCCCTAGCTTGCTTAATTGTGAGAATACAGTATATAATACATATATTAGAGGGAGGGAGAAAATTCCAAGTAGACTCTACCCTGAGCACAAACCTGACAATACATATACAAAATATGTGTTAATTGACTGTTTATCAGTAAGGCTTCTGGTCAACAGCTGGCTAGTAGTTGAGTTTGGGGGGAGTCAAAAGTAAACTGGATTTTTGACTGTGCAGTGGGTCAGTACCCTTTACCCCACTATTGCCCAAGGGTCAACTGTGCAAACAAATGGTGTATGGAGTAAGAATATATATGAAATAGGAATAAAATTTTTATATGGGAGTATCAAATTATTCACGTTATTTTATAATTATTTCTTTTTTCAAAAACTTTGCTTCATTCTTAAAAGAAAATTCTTTATACACTTTCCCTAATATGTCGCAAAGACTTATTCTTTGGTCTATTTCTCCCCATTCTCCCTGTTTTATTAGGCAATGTGGCTTCCCTCTTCCATGTGAAACCTGGGCCCCAGGCCAAAGCTTACCTCCACTCAACAACAATTCAATTCAGTTCAGTTATTTGTACAAGTTGAGTTGCTCTCTATAAATAAATTTAGCCAACTGCTAAGAAGAGCAAATATTGTATTATTACATTTGTATTTGTGGGTGTTGTGGATTCTTTCAAAGCAATAGCATATAATGAAAGTTTAATCCTCACTGACAAAAGTCAATAACCACTTTGCAATATAACAAAGATAACATCTTCATTTTGATAGAACATTTGTAATTTTGTGTCTATAACAAAAGTCATATTTTTACTTATTAATGTAGAATTAATTATTTGTACATATGAAATTTTTCTAACTTTTATATTTAAGAATCAAGTATATAAATAAGTGTTGGGGCGCCTGGGTGGCTCAGTCGTTACACGTCTGCCTTCGGCTCAGGTCGTGATCCCAGGGTCCTGGGATTGAGCCCTGCATCGGGCTCCCTGCTTGGCGGGAAGCCTGCTTCTCCCTCTCCCACTCCCCCTGCTTTGTGTTCCCTCTCTCACTCTGTCTTTCTCTGTCAAATAAATAAATAAAATCTTAAAAAAAATAAAAAATAAATGTTTCATTTGCAATTTTGTAAAGGTAAGATCTGTTGCACTGCGTTTCAAACCTCATATAATGTAAAATAATTTATTTTTTCTTTTAGCCTCAAATTTATTTTTATGAATACTAATTATTTTACTTTTTTAAACTTAGCATTAAAACATTTGATGTGTGGAGGGCTATTTGCTAATTTACTGCCACTAGGTTGCTTGATTGATATATTTGAAAACAGACAAAACTAGTTTAATTTTTATTTCTTTTTTAAAAAATTAATTAGCTAATTGATTAATTAATTTTCAGGGGGAGAGAGAGCTCACGTGTGTGCAAGCAGGGGGAGGGGCAGTGGGAGAGGGAGAAAATTCCAAGTAGACTCCACCCTGAGCACAAGCCTGACAAGGGGCTTGATCTCAGGACACTGAGATCATGACCTGACCAAAAAATCAAGACCAACCGAGCTCCCTAGTACCCCCAATTTTTATTTTTAATGTGTTTATTTTCTCATTACAAAAGTACACTGGAAGTAGATGTTACCTCTTTAGTACAGGTACTGTGCATTCCTTACTTGATAGCATCGACCTCTGGGTAATCCAGGATCCAACCTTCTATTTTTGTGATTGGACATGCAAGAATGGGGCATAAGAATTCTGAATCATTGTGAGAGAGGGAGGTGTTGTCTACATAAGGGAGTTTGTGTCAGCTGGCATCATTTTACCAGATAACATACTGATGGCAAAGAAGATACGGACATATGAGTCCTTCATGAGAAAATAACCAGCATTTTTGTGCTTCTTCTTATTTCCATCACACTGAGCTTCTTTGTACCTTGACTCATTTACTGTTGCAGTTTTCCTTTGCTACTCCATTTCTATTTTTTTCCCGAGGGGAGCAGATGCTTGGCCATGGATCACACTGTCTCACCTTCTCTGGAATAATTGCTCTTCTAATCCAGACTTAGGCAAATAGCACAGCCCCTTTTGGAATAACTTTTAGAATAACTATGGCTATGTCCTTTTTAATTAACAGAAAAGTGAGAGGTCCAGCTGGATTGTAGGTTTACATTGAGAAGTGGTAAATAATATGAGAGGGGAAAGATGGTCCAGATGATGATAGGGTTTCCAGGACAGTGAGAAGATTCTTACAACTGTATTTTTTTTTTTTTGCCTTTTGTGAGTTTTGTTTTATTTCTTCCATCTTCCTCTTTTCCAAAAAGGAAGAAAATTTGAGGTCAAAATGTGGCATGTAACCCAAAACCTAAAAAAAATTTGTCAAAATTCAGGAAAATATAGTTTTCCCATGCGTAGTTGATCCTCACGAAACTTCTGTGTTTTATAAGTAGAACATATTTTATGATACACATTTTATAGATCAGGAATCAAAAGAGTAAGCTACTTGGTATGACACAGCTAAACATAGGTTGTCCGATTCCAAAACTCATGTTTTTTTCTATTGCATTTCTCTTCAAAAGCCACATTCCCTTTTGCATATTTTATATTTCCTTGGGGAAAAAAGTCTCTGATTCAAAAGTTACAACCTGGGCACCTGGGTGGCTCAGTTGGTTAGGCGACTGCCTTCGGCTCAGGTCATGATCCTGGAGTCCCAGGATCGAGTCCTGCATTGGGCTCCCTGCTCAGCGGGGAGTCTGCTTCTCCCTCTGACCCTCCCCCCTCTCATGCTCTATCTCATTCTCTCTCTCAAATGAATAAATAATCAGAGTTCTAGAGGGGAGGGGGTGGGGGATGGGTTAGCCTGGTGATGGGTATTAAAGAGGGCACATACTGCATGGAGCACTGGGTGTTATACGCAAACAATGAATCATGGAACACCACATCAAAAACTAATGATGTAATGTATGGTGTATGGTGATTAACATAACATAAAAAAAAATCTTAAAAAAAACAACAAAAAAACAAAACAAAACAAAAAACAAAGTTACAACCTGGTGACCTAGGGATGGGATTTGTCTTCATAGTTCCTTTGTCTGTATAAACAATGTTTCAAAAAAAACATTTGCCACGTTAGATTACATTTGAAAGTCAAGAGCTGTTACACAAAAAGCTAGGTTTCCCAAAATACTGGAATATATCATCATTGGGCCTGTAATCATTTTTAGCAACAATCTCTGGGGGAGCTGAGGGCAAGAATGGAAGATAACAGGGATTCTCAAACTTGAATACATTCGAAACACTTTGATTTTAAAACACACATGCCTGGGTCCCACTTGTGACCAACTCCATTGTAATCTCTGAATGGAGGCTCAGCCAGAGTAAATTCTATGTGCAAACATTGACATGGGGTATGTGGTGGGGTACATGCTCTTTGGTTTACCACTAAATCAGTCCTCACTTAACTTTCTACACTCACATGACCTCCTGACCTTTGTAGAAGTTTGAGTTGTCAATTCTGTATTATCACATTCTCAACTCATAACTCATCTGGCAATTTGAGCTTCTGTGTTCAATAATCAAAACTCACTGGTTTTAGTTTTACTTGTACTCAGAAGATTGTGTCATTCTCTTTCCAATTTGATACCCCTCTCATATGAGAGGGGTATCAAATTGGAAATAATCAATGCATAGTCTAAGAGTCTAAGAATGACAATACATGGACCTTTTTATAATAATTCTCTTTATAACAGGAGCTGCAGAGAAGTGTTTTCTGTTTGTTTTTTGTTTTTGTGGATGATTGCAAACATGAAACCTGGTTATATCTCGTTTCCAGAATGTATCAATTACACGGAAAGCTCAGGAGAATGCTATCTTATTTTTATGATATTATTTATTTTATCCTTTTCTCCTTCCATGAAATTCTTCCAGAACACCAGAATCTGTACTGTATGATCACTACAGCCTAGTTCTCACCATACTGTTTTGGCAAACCAGGTTTGTTTTATGTTGATGTCAGGAAAGCAAGTCATTGGTCATTGTGAAGGTGAATAGTTTTGTTCCACTTTATTTCAGAATATTGATGGGCTCTGCAGGGTGCTGTCCTCAGATGCTAATACTAAAGGATGAGACCTCTGCGGTGTAGCTCACATTCAGTCATTCTCTGAATTAAAGGGTGGATAATATTAAGTTCACGTGCAGATTTGAGGTGAGGGCTTTTCAGGCTGAGGACTCTACTATTGACTGAATGGTCCTCTATGAAAGGAGAAGCTGTCTCTCTCAGCGTTTCCCTTTTTGCCCCATAAAAACAGGGACTTTCCAGAGAAACTGGAAGTTTCTGTCTTCCATGCAAGAAGTGAATTACAAGTTTATGTTTGTCAATGTTTATGTAATTTTCAATATTCAGCTACTGAAATTAGAAATCCATCCCTTCAAACATCCAATCCCATCCTATCATTTCCTCTCATTTTGAGTCAACTCTTTGGCTTAATAGAAATAAGGACATTTCTTCAGAGATCCTTAAGTCCTTGCTACTCTATCTTATTGCTCCAGGATTAGATAATTGGATCAGTCTAAAAGGACAGTATTTTATTTCTTGAATAAAAGAGGAACTGCTTATAATCAATATGCCAATATAATTTATAAAATTTGGAGGAAGGGTCTTTATTTTATTATACATAAGATGGACGCAGAGTTGTTTCTCAAGTTGTGTGTTATGATCTGAATGTTTGCTGTCCCCAAAATTTGTATGTTGAAATCCTAACACCCGATGTAATGGTATCAGCAAGTGGGGCCTTTGGGAGATGATGAATTCTTGGGGGTAGGGCCCTCATGAATGGAATTAGTGCCTTGTAAAAAGGACCCCACACAGCTCCTGGCCCTTTCTACCATGTGAGGCTACAGCTAGAAGTCCACAGCCTGGAAAAGCTCCTCACTTGCCAATGCT